ATTTAATTCATATTTCACAACATTACAGTTCTTAATGTATTTTGGATTTTTTTAATCCACCCTTTAGTGAAGTGAGATGAAACTTCTGTCAAAAACCTTTAATTTTTGGTTATGTTCTGACAGTTACTCTAAAAATTAATATAATATCATTTTTACTTTTACGGACAGTGATGTGAAAATGTTTTATGTTCATTTTGCATTTTTATTTTTAAGAGTAAGAGTCCTAAAATTGTAATATTTTACTTTAAAAGTACTTTTACCCAACACTGGTTTCAAATGGACAAAGTTATATGTCAACAACCCTCAATCTGTATGAACCAAGCATGGGCCGGTACATGATTCAGACAGCATGATAACCTTGGATAACCTTAAAATATTTTTGTTTTAGTTTCACAGTAGTGATCACTGCTCTAAAATATGTTCTTTATTAAATGTCTGGGTAAAAAAACGAAAACTTTTTGCCCTTTAAATCCAACATATTTTATTTTGAGAAACATTTAAGATATTTTGGAGCAGTAAACATGTCAGGCTAAATAATTCAGATATATCATTGACTTCTGCTGTCTTCATTAGTTTCAAAAACACAAATGTCTTTACAATTTAAAATGACAACTTTGGATATGTTTTCTGCTGGAGGTACTGTAGTTGGCAGTTTTAAAACCTTGAATTTTCCAAACTGTGGTATACCTTGACAATGGTTATCGCCCCATGCCTATACACAGTATACTGTAAAACCCAACAGTCAACTTTATCAAATTAAATGAGTGTAGTTAACTTAAAATTTATTGAAAGTTAATTATACTCAACTGAAAAGAGTTTTAAAGTCAATGTTGAAGGTAATGAGGTAATTAAATACCTCATTACTTCAACTTAAATGGAGTAAGTTCACAGTACTCATATAAATTAGTTTAACTCAAATGGTTTGTAGTAATTAGTTTCCTCAAATGGTTTGAGTTCCCTTAACTTATCTGGTTTTACAGTACTCAGCTGGTTTGAGTTCTCTTCATTTATTGGGTTTTACTGTGCTCAAATTGCTTCATTTACTCAAATGGAGTAAGTTCACAGTACTCATTAGGATTCGTTTTTAAACCGAAATGGTTAGTTGCAATAGAATTCCTCAAATGGTTTGAGCTACCTGAACTTATTGGGTTTTACAGTGTATTAAATAAGCTTATTACTAGGCCCACACGGAATTTGCGCAGATTTTTAGCCCATCATTGATTGTTTATTTACTTGTGTAAATTCATAATTATTCAGTTTTTAAATAAATTTCAGTAATATTGTCTAATATGAAAATATTTATGATTTATTTACAATGCAGTTTGTACAGCCATATTTTATGTCTTTTAGTAAATATATTATATGAAAGAATTGCTTTGTTTACTAAATTAAGAGGATCTAGCTGGATTTGCATTGTAAACATTAAATACAAGTTTAAAAAGTATTACTTTTTATCTCCTATAAGGCATTAGTTATGATACTCCCAAAATAATTCTGCACAAATCTGCAGATTTTTACCAGAATTCTGCAATCTATTTTAAATGTTGACTTTGTACCATCCTGCAGATTCCAAGTAACAAAGTCCCTGTACACCTGTAAAGCAGCTGATCTAAACTCCACGTGTCTTGATCTGTAATTCTAGGAACCTGCTCTCAGGGCACCACGTCCCAAACCGGTTGAACCGCTAATTCACAGCCTCCACTCAGCTACAAAGAATTTGCTGAAAAAGAGTCACCTTGCTGAAAATGCCTAGTAAAATGAACTGAAGGACTTTTATGTTTACGTTTATAGTGTTGGAAGTGATTTTATATATCAAAAAATAGATTGACCATTGTGCCAAGTAACATATACAGAAATCCAAACAAACATGTGCATACTTTCAAAAGTCAGGCTCACAAGTGTCCTTGCCCCATTGTTTTAAATGTAACTACCATAATATTGCTCATCCATAAAATAATATTAGTACTATACATGTTTAATGTTCCACTCAGCAGTCTCTTAAACAATCCAAGACAAGAGGTAGGTGTCAGCGGAATGTCTACAGCAACCAGAAAAGCTTGTTCAATAGAAACTCAGATGGCACAACACTCATTCTCAAGGACGAGTTGACACTGTCCCATTGTTTATCCTTCTGAGCAAGATTGAGGGCTCTTCCTCGAGTTTCACTGACCTGCGTCTGATGGAACGTCAGGGTGTGGCTCCAAAAACCGAATCAAAACTCAGGCGATCCCGGCGGGACATTTTGACAAGAGAACTCGCCTCACTTAAAACCCTGTTGGGCGTTATTTTATAGAAACACTCCATTAACAATCGATTGAAATCAAGACATTTAAGTAACTGTGCAAGAACAATGCAGGGGAATATCGAAGTACGCCATTGTATGAGGCGCACAAAGGTAAATCTGCTTCAAAGTGTCTCGATAAGATCCAACTGTGCCAATTTAACAAAGCAAATATTTGACATGGTGATCCAAAAGTAAATATTTATTATTAAAATAGGTTTCAGTGCAGTCAGCTCTTGTTTTTTGTTCAAACCACGTAACTCCAGGATTACATAATCCAGTCACTTTAGAATTGTTCCAAAATCAATAGCAAAACCCACTGGGAAATCTGCTCTCACTTCCTTCTCCGGCAGCGGTAGCAGCAGGCATAACAGCGTCCCACCTGCTCCTCGCTCTCCTTCACGGTGTAACCTGGCTGGTTGTTGTATGAAGAGGGGTTCTGGCCATTTCTGGCCTCTCCATAAACTGGCACATTAGAGGCGTTGCTCTCCCCTGGGGTTTTGAAGCTGCTATAGGGGTTTAAGGAAGAGTTGTGGTTTTTGTAGGTGCTCTCTAACGCCATCGGGTTGATGATGATGGTGCTGGAGTCAGGCTGATCCCGCAGCTTGGCACGAGGGATGGTGACATCACCGTAGGGGTTCTCAAGTGAGATATTCATGGTGTCAGGCTGGGGATGCGAGCCAAAAATTGAACAATCGAGAGCCTTGGTTTCTGTTTAAGTCTGTTAGAATTTTCGAAACATAACGGCTTCCAAATATCAGGTTCTTCTTGAATGTTCCTGAGGTACACAAATAAAGAAGTTACTTAACAAGACATCTTGGATAAAGTATTACATTTTTCAATTATTATATCCGGTTGTATCCATCTTCTGCCACATTAAATGTTTGAGCCGAATTCTGATTGGTTTAAAAATTAAGTGTTTATTTTGATTCCAATTGTATTTTTTCATTTGGTCATTGCCATATTTGCCTTTACACAAAAGAAGTATTACATTTTTTCCACATATAATTGTCAAATCCATTTTAAAATCAAAATCTCTGTTACACATCTGCTTTTAGATAGTGTTTGTTGCAGTTTTATTTGCTTTTGCTATCAAAATTTCAAGAATGGAAAGTTTGATAACAGTCTTCATATCTTACTGGACCTGGATTCTGCTCATTTTTGCTACATTTATATGGATTGAATTTAAACAAATAAATTAAAGTTAAACATAACTAAGTAGAAGATGTTTGTTTAAATCTATATGAACTATTTGCATTCATTTATCTTAAAAGAATTAGTAAATTCAGTGAATATTTTTTTTCAGTGTGGTTTCTTAAAAATCTATCGAGTAAGAGCACAATATGAAGCATATACAAAAGCAATCTGAAGTTGTTTTTAACAATGCTTGAACAGTAACAGAAAGTCATTAATACTTTTTAGAATTAAAAAAAAACATGAGAATCAATTTACATACATTCACAATTTTTTCTTCATTATTAATAATAATAGAACACATAAATAAGTCAAATAACAAAAATTAACTAAAATAAATGATAAAGAAAAATATGTAGCAGTTCTTAAAATATGAAAACAAAATTCTCTAATGATGAATATAAAGTTCTTGCTTTTTGGCTTTTCATCTCTTTTAATGTCTTCAAATATATCACAAATTCTTCTTTAATCACCACTAGTCTTTGGGGAATTTTGAAAAATTAACATTTATGAATACAAAATTTTAATAATAACAATAAATTATTCATTATAAAAGATATATTGTTAATAACTTCCCATGAGAAGATAAGTCTATATATATTTTCTGTTGTATCCAAACTAATACTTAGTCGCAAAATGTTTGTACCAAACAACACTAGAAAAACAAGTGTTCAATTGGTCCAATACCTAAATTACAAAACTGGCATACATTTGAGATAACGGAAATTGAATTTTAACCTTAGAAATTCTTTTGCAGAATGAATTTGATTCATATTTTTAAAGTGCATTTCTTTACATTTAGGATTAACAGGATATGGAAAAAAAACGTTTTCTAATAACATACACATTTTTATTATCCTAATGAGACAATATGAAGAGTTTAGATGCAAAAACCTCTAAATTCCATCTAAAATTTTCCTCTAAAATGCATAATTTTATTAGCCTCCTGTGTGTATGTTTAATAATATCACTTTTATGGCAAAGTCACTTTTCTGGTCTTTAAAGTAAAATATCTTAACATAAACCAAGGAGGCTAAGAAAAATGTTCATTTTTGATGGAAATTTCAGATGGCATTTAGAGGTTTTTGCATCTGAACTCTTCATATAGAAGCTCTTAATAAGTCCTGGAAAACAACACTGTGTTAAACAATCTCTCAGAAATTTGTTTGATCATTCTCTATCTGTAAAGTTAACAAGTTATACAACCCGTTTAGACTAGAAGGAAATGCGATGCTCATAATTACTCATTCCGGGGAAATTTCTGCAAGTGTTCATCCATACCCCAGGTGGCGATACGTTTTCTCTCTTCATGAGTGACTTATTGAATCATTCACACAACTGATTCATTCCAAGTCAATGAGTCATTCGGCCACAGTTTTAAACAGAAATTATATTAAACTTTATTTTTTATTATAAGATGTAAAAAAAAATATTTTGGTCGTATTTTAGTAAGCTTTTTTAAATAGAACAATTTCTTCCAGGATGAGACTTAATGAAGGAACCATTCACTGAACCGATTCTCAATGATTCAACCTTGACAGTTGGCGTTTGCTAGGATCTCGACAGCTGTTTCGTTGATGGAGCAGCAATAGCAGGCAAAATTGTGAGTAAAATGCACGTAAATGCATATTATCTTCTTGTTTTTTTAACTATTGTATAAATGATCACACTTACGAATTCTTTATAGTTTGAATAAGCTTGTTGAATCCAAAACAAGATTGCGAGTTTTTGAATTAACGTTAAGCCAGTATGTATGCAAAATGTAACAAGCTAAGCTAATGTTACATTTGCATTGCTTTGTTAAATGTACTGTTTCATTAGCTTTAAATTACATCATGTGCTCTATGTATTCTGTTATACAAAGGGCATTAGATTGTATAGCTATTTTTTTTAACTAAATATTTCCTAGATGTAAATATAACTCTCTTTGTATAATTCAAATCACAACATGACTCATTTTATGAACAATTCCAACCACATAACTTGCCTGTGACCTCTGATAAACAGATAAAGTACTCACCGGTAGAGGCCTTGGCTATTGTTTGGTGGGAATCAGTTTTCAAGACTGCACGCTGTGCCTTCAGTGACTTCTTTTCTTCCGTGTTTCCGAAATAAGGTGAGACAGAACTGAGCCATCAGGTTGGAGGAAAAAGAGGAGGAGGCTCCAGCTGACCGTGAGTCTTGTTTAAACATGGCAGTATGAAACCCCACCCTTGGCCATTCAAGTTCAGCTGAAACCACCTATAGGTGTATGTGTGTGTGTGTGTGTGTGTGTGTGTGTGTGTGTGTGTGTGTGTGTGTGTGTGTGTGTGTTTGCTGGGGGAGGAGGCTGATTGTGAGAGTCAGTTCAGGAATGTTAATATTCAATTGACTATTATTATAGTAAGACGATGTGTTTTTGGAAGGGAAACAATGAAATATACTTTTCACAGAATGAAAAAAAATAAAAGGAAGCTACGTAAGTTCTAAAGCTGGTATTTTAATAAGTCTGTGGATGCTGTTATGTAAGATGGTTATCCATTCTGCAAACATTACATTGTTTGGCACCAGAGTACACCACTTGCCCGCAGCCTTGTTTTAACTCTGTTAAACGTTAACTGAACTGGCATTTGTTGTGCAGTTTAAGATTTAAAAGTGGAGCTTAGAGTTTTAATGCTGCAATTGTTAAATGCTGAAGGATTTAGCAGTTTTATGAGCTCAAATTAATTATGTATATATACATTTATATATGTATAAATTATATATATAAATTATATATATAAATTATATATATAAATTATATATATAAATTATATATATATATATATATATATATATATATATATATATATATATATATATATATATATAGCCCCCCTGAATTATTGGCCTCCCTGTTTATTTTTTCCCCCAATTTCTGTTTGACGGAGAAAATTTTTTTTCAACACATTTCTAAACACAATAGTTTTAATAACTCATTTCTAATAACTGATTTATTTTATCTTTGCCATGATGATAGTAAATAATATTTGACTACATATTTTTCAAGACACTTCTATACAGCTTAAAGTGACATTTAAAGGCTTAACTAGGTTAATTAGGTTAACTAGGCAGGTTAGGGTAATTTGGCAAGTTATTATAAAACGATAGTTTGTTCTATAGACTCAAAAAAAAAAAAAAAAGCTTAAAGGGGCTAATAATTTTGTCCTTAAAATGGTTTATTCATTTATTTTATTTTCGGCTTAGTCCCTTTATCAATCTAGTGTCGCCACAGCGGAATGTACCACCAACTTATCCAGAATAAGTTTTACGCAGCGAATGCCCTTCCAGCTGCAACTCATCACTTGGAAATTAAATTGTAAAAAATATAAAAATTGCTTTTATTCTAGCTAAAATAAAACAGATAAGACTTTTTCCCAGAGGAAAAAAATATTATCAGACATACTGTGAAAATTTCCTTGCTCTGTTAAGCATCATTTGGTAAATACAAAAAAAAAATCAAAGGGGAGCTAATAGTTCTAAATTCAAATATATATATGGTCCATTTAAATCAGGGGTGTCAAACTCAATTCCTGAAGGGCCGAAGCCCTGCACAGTTTAGTTCCAACCCTGCTCCAACACACTTATCTGTAGGTTTCAAACAAGCCTGAAGGACTCAATTTGTTTGATCAGGTGTGTTTAATTAGGCTTGGAACTAAACTGTGCAGAGCTGCGGCCCTTTTGGAACTGAGTTTGACACCCCTGATTTAAATGATTAAATTTAAACATAGCAAAAGCAGATCGGTTTGACTGTACCAGGGAAATACCTTACGCTCATGGTTCTAAAACGTATGCCGTCGATATGCTGAGGAGTAATCTGCTCTCAAAGCTGCATGTGTGAGAGATGGCTGTGTGGCACTGTGCCACCTTTGAGTGCTCTGAGGCAGGGGAGAGACCAACAGCATCACTCGCAGCTCATCGTGAAGAGTAACGTTAAGAACACCACAATATGTACACACAAGAGTCTCTGAAAACCTCCAGTAACACCTATCATTTGCTACATTTTTCCAACAATGGCTGGCAGTGTCTTTGTAGAAGTGCTCACACCTCTCACATGTGCAGTACGGACAGAATGTTACATTTTTTATTGGGGCCCCCTATTTTGAAAAGAAACAATAGCGTTAAAATCTTAAGAGTTATAAGCTGAGTTTAATTTCAGAGGCTGCGTCCTCTGAAGGATGCATTCGAAGTGCCCTGCGTCATAAAAAAAGTTCAAAGACTCTTTCAAACGCAGCCTCCAAATGCATCCTTCGTTTCCCAGGTAATGAAGATAACAACCAGTGAATCCTTCGCAGTCTTGCATGTCCCAAGATTCATTGCGTGCTGATAATGGCAGGAAGTTTTTAAAAGAAAACTCTGGATAACATGTATGAATTAGGTTTATTTTACTTGGATATCTAAACACATGTTAAAAAACAAAACCAGTATGTTTTACTAAAGACTGATTTTATAGAGAGTTTATATGTCTATGTGTACATGTATGGATCAAAGGAAATATATTTCTAGCTTCTGTAAATCTGGTTTTGCCTGCTTAAAATAAGTTTTAAAATCACTTTTAAAAAAAGTCATTACAAATTTTATTACTGCTTATTAACAGCAGATGTTAGAGGCTAGATCGTCTCATTTCAAAATGCTCAGTTTAACCTGTGTGGAAGGACTCACCTTTGAAGTCTGCATCCTTTGGAAGATTTCATTTGGCATTTCTGTGTAGACCCAGTAGACGTGTAGGTTTCTTCGTGTTCTGGTTTCCCCCACAAGTCAGAAGGTGACATGGGTAAGCTAAATTGTTCGTAGCGTATGCGTGTATGTCCTGGTCCTCCAGGTTGGGGGTTAAACGTTGGGCTAGATGTTTAGATGTTACGAAACACCAACATTGTGCAACTAAATATTAACTGCATAATTTATTAACTAAGTAATTTATCTATATATTACTTCAAATGCTGTATTGTTCAGATTTATTAGTGTACTTTTTAAAAATTTATTCCTAAATTTGCAAAATGTTAATGTTTGCAGGACAACTTAAAGTATAAGCGTGTACTTTAAATAATTAATGTTTTCATTGACACAAATAATTCTGAAGTCACGTTTTTTTTACTGTCATTGAATTAACAACATGTCCGAACAGTTGCTATTAAGTTTAATATAGACTTGTAGAAAAAGATATACTGTGCAACATGACAACAGCATTTTAGCAACTTGAAAATGCAAACTTTTAAAATTGGGTCCTCCAGATGCTCCAGTTTCTCCCAAATAGGGTATATGCCGAGCTAGTGCTGTTCCCATGCTGATAAACTTCCGGTGACCTGTTATTGTGAACTTTTTCCCATTTTATTTGGTTCCTTATACAGCATCGATGTTGTAATGTCATTAAAATACATTCAGTTAAATAAACTTTAGCATTTATTTAGTTGCTCAAGCGTAAAACGAGACAAAAAGCTGTTTACTCGCACGCGCCCATCAGAATCGGCAGGCTAACGCAGAAGCTCCATTGGATATACTGGGGTAAAATAAATGCTCATATTATAAAGATATGGCAGGGGAAATGTAATTTAATGTAGTGCTTCTTGTACAATCTGAGACCCACTTTAAATCGGATATCACTCAGCAAGTGGAGATCGCTGATTTTAAAGAAAACAGACCTTAAACGCACCGGATTTTGCATTGGCATTCAATTCGCCGGAAGCGCTTAACCCAGGTTAATGGCAAATTAAAAGTCCTATTAGCATGCTTTGGAATATACCCCATTGGCCGTAGTGTATGTATGTGAATAAATGTATATGGATGTTTTACAGTACTGAGTTGCAACTGAAATGGCATCCGCTGTGTAAAACATATGCTGGATAAGTTGGTGGTTCTTTCCACTGTGGCAACGCCTAATCAATAAAGGGAATAAGCCGAAGAAAAATGAATGAATAATTGAATCAATTTAAAATACAAAAACAGGACATTATAAAAACTATTAAGTTATGCACTGTTCTCTCCATATTCACATGGGTTTCCTCCAAGTGCTTAGGTTACCCCCACAGTCCAAAGTCATGCAGTATAGGTGAACTGGGTAAACCAAATTGGCTGTAGTGTATGTATGTGTGTGTGGAATGAGATAATGTATGGGTGTTTTCCAGTGCTTTCCCATAACCTAAACCATAGCTTGATGCTGCCACCATCATGCTTCACTGTAGGGATGTTATTGTCTTGGTGATTAACAATCTCTAAATTTCTCCAGACATAGAGTTTTATCTTTGGTTTATCAAACCAGATCATTTTATTGAGAGTACTTCAGGTGGCTTTTGGGAAACTTCATGTGGACCACTGAGGAGTGGTTCTGGTCGGATTGGTAAAGAGCTGCAGAGAAGGTTGTTCTTCTAAAGGTTTTTCTCTCTCCACAGAGAAATGTTGGAGCTCTTTCAGAGTAGGGATAGGCATAATGGCAAAAATGCTGTCTCTAATTATTTTCCATATTGTAAAATAATGAAATATGTTTCGATACAAGTTTATAATGCTTACAGATTTAAAAGAGTACACCGACAATGAATGACACCGTTGGACACTGACGTTGGCCAGATGTTGGTTTTTGACGTCAACACGATTTTCATTTTCAAACAAAATGCAACGTCCCCACGACATTGGGGGTACAACATCAATTTCGGTCATCATCCAGTAAACGTCTGTCAGTTTCTTATCAGTGACATGCATAAACAGACTCTGGGTCAATGCGTGTAAAGATTTGTACATCTTCTTGGACACTTTTAATGCTTACAAACAGTTTGTTGCAATAATAAATTGCCCATTATCTTGCGGTAGTTCATTATTATGCGAATCACCTCTTCTATGTACAATTTGATTGGAGAGGAATCACAGGACTGATTTTTTTAATCCCCCAAAAAATTGTGACTGGAAGGAAAGAAGTGGAGAAAAAGTACTGATACAGCACTAAAAATGTACTCAAGGGATGTTGGATGTTGGATTTTGTTCGGAAATAAAAATTCCAAATTAAGATCGGATTGAGAACAGCACCCAATGCCTGGCCATTACAGTGTCCAACGTTCAACCTAAAATCAACCTAAAATCATCCAAATATTAACATCTAATCATGTTACACCTTGACGTTGTGTGAACATTACCACTATGACATCTATCAGATGTTGGACTTTGGTCACTTTCCAGCGCAATCTAAAATCAACCAAATATCAATCTATATATGTAATTTGACATCGTTATTGGACGTCAAA